ATTTATTTCTCTCTAGAATGACGTACAAATGAGCGTTCTTGCTCATTTTGCCTCCGAGAAATGAGCAGAAAGGGGACGGAAAACATGAAATTTTGGCATAATCTTGAACCTAAATGTTCGCTATTCATATTTCGCTTTTTAAGCTGGATCCGCCCCTGCCTTTTGGTTGGTTTAAGTGGTACAGTTATCCGCGCGCATCCGCCATTCCGTCAATATTCTGCAGAGCATTTCGCTCCTGGACATTATCATCGGGTTGCCTGATTTATCCCGGGAGCGTCGGGACGGCGTCGTTCAGGCGCTGGGAGGATCCCACAGCTGATCTGATGCGGACGCCAGGTCAGAGCGACGCCGGCAGTTCTGGTGACGCCGCTAAACGCGACGCCTCGTTTTCCACTCCCGGCAGCGCCCGTTCGTAATAAAGGCGCGATCGGTGACCAAACTTTTCCCGTTTCAAACTCCCTTTGTGCTTCTTATGTAAGTAGATTCACTGCATGTTGGGCAAACCAGAGTGTAAATTCAGACAGCAAATTTTTACAGGGTGAGCCGTTTTGAGGACGCTTTTCTTGCGTCGCTAACTAGGGCGGTCGGTTTGAAACAAATAGGTGTTGATTATATTTTTTGCGTCAGCTCTACCATCTGCTTGCACCCATTTGAGCTCAATAGCTGCGATCATTAATCCAGCAACATTTCTTAGAAGTTCTAGAAGTTATTTGCATGGCACTCTTCCTGAAACTGAAAAAACGATCCTTATTGAGAGGTATTTATGGTAAGAGGGATCTCAATAGATTCCTGTTGTACACGCCAGTTAATTGATAAATGCTGGTATATGTAGCGTAAACGAACATTTCGCTTCGTGCTGTTATTTATAGCCGCATGTTCAGACCAACCTAAACTTGAGACCTCTGAGATGCGAGCGTTGGAATTTCACGGTTTAAAAACGATTTGGCAATGAAACCGTCCACGCAAACCTGACACTGAAAAATGCTGGCCGATTTTGCATGTTCGATTTTTCTCAATGGACGGCTCTGACGTGGCGCTTTCCGGCCCATGAACGTTCAACACCCTGTATACCTACCAAGTTTGCTAAAGCCGTTTAAATGGGATTTTTTTGCTTTTCAGTTACATCGCTATACATAATGAGAGGACAACGCGAAGCGGCACGCTAGCGTAGAAAGGGACGGTTCAACTTGACGCAAAGGTTACAGAATGTTCAGTTTTTGCCC